AAGGGAGAGGGAGAGATTAAGTTTGAGATAGGCTCCTGCTTTGTAAAAACCCAAGCTGACTTTAAGCTTGTGATCTTCTGCCTCAGCCTCCCCTGTCAGTGCTTCAGTGCTGAGATTATACGTATACATCACTCACTTGGCCTTAAGCAGGGTTAAAGACCTGCTTTCTATTTTCTAGGTTCTGTCATTTATTGACTAGTTCAGGGATAGACTATTTTTAATTTTATTATTTTGAGACAGAGTTTCTCTGTGTAGCCCTGACTTCCTTGGAACTTGCTCTGTAGACCGACCAGGCTGGCCTTGAACTCAGATCAGCCTCTTCTGCCTCCTGAGTGCTGGGACTAAATGTGTGTCCACCACTGCCCTTTTTATTATTCTGTTTCCTCCCCTCTGTTTCCTTTATCTGAACCTTTATAATGTTGGTGTTTGTGTTTTTGATACAGGATCTTACATAGCTAAGGTTGGCCTATAATTCTCAATACAGCAATGAATGGCTTGATTTTTGTAATCCTTTGCCTCACTTCGAAAGTGCTCAGATTACAGACAAAGGACACCATTCCTGATTGCTTTTTGGCTTTTTCAGCAGTTGTGCTCTGTATCCCAGGGAGGCCATGAACTTTAGCAGTAGCATCCTGAGTGCTGAAATTACAGAGCATGTGACCATTGTACCTTACTGGGACTTTTTCTAATAGTAAATACTTGTGAGAAAAGTTATATTTTAAAGTTTCTTGAAAGGATCTTTTGTCTTTAACCTAGTTTTAGGGTTATTTATTAGCTTGTTGTTAAAGTCAGAACTGACTGCTCACTGTGCCTTGTGTCTTCCACTGCTTAGCCCAATAGTTTATGTTGGCCATTCAGTGAATGAGTTGACTTGAATTAAATTTTGTCTCAATTAGTCCATCCTGTTTGCAGTACAATTCTAGTTTAAAATTTACCTTTACCAACCCTTAAAACACAAAAAAGACCCTGTGTACTGAGTTGTTGAATAGCCCGCTTAAATTTTGTGAGGAAACCCAGTAAGTATAAATTGGTATGCTTCACTTTTTTTTTTTATCTTTTGTGATTATGATTATGTCATTTCCCTCTTCTCTTTCCTCCCTCTAAACCCTCCCACTCACAACCCTTCCCCATTGTCCCTTTAAGTTCATGGCCTCCTTTTCTTATTTAACACGTGTATGTGTGTGTATATATATCTATAAAAGTATGTATATGTATGTATATACTTAGAAGGGAGAAAGTTCATGAGGCTTCAACTTTTAAATTTGTGTACATTAAGTGGCCTGGGGATGTAGCTTAGTTGATAATGGCTTGTCCACCATTTATCAAACTTGAGATTCCAAGATGATCTCCATCACCAAATAACTTGGCTGTGGTGGTACAAGAATGTAATTGCAATACTTGGGAAGCAGAGGGAGGAAGATCAGGAATTCATCAAGCTCTGATGGTACCTTAGCTAGTTTGAGGCCAGGTTGTGGTAAATGAGACCTTGTCTTGAAACCAAAGCATGAGTAATGTTATTTCTTGATACTGAATTAATTAAAAGAATAATCATTTGTTTTGTTTATGTATATGCATTTGTGTGAATATTTGCCACAAGTGTGAGTGCTTGTGAAGTCAGAAGAGGACTTTGGATTCCTTCCATATGTGGCAGCAGGCAGCTACCAGGTGCCCAATGTGGGTTCTGAGTCCTCTGGAAGAGTATGTAGTGCTCTTAACCATGGAGACATCATCTCTTTAGCTCAGTATCAGTTCTTTATAAGATTTTGGCTTTGTATGTGTGTGAATTACTAGTTGAAGATCTCACATAGTATGTATACATAGTACTACTTTAAGCTGTATTTTCAGCCCTGTAAAGTGTTTTAGTTGTGTGTTTTTATTGTATGTATATTAGTAGTCTTATTAAAACAATTTGTTTCCAGAATATAATGTTTTTGGAGGGGATAACATTTATGCAACTCTTTTTTTTTTTTTTTTTTTTTTTCCTCGAGACAGGGTTTCTCTGTGTAGTTTTGGAGCCTATCCTGGCACTCGCTCTGGAGACCAGGCTGGCCTCCAACTCACCGAGATCCGGCTGCCTCTGCCTTCCGAGCGCTGGGACTAAAGGGATGTGCCACCAATGCCCGGCTTATGCAACTCTTAACAAGTATCAATTTCTTGGGAGGCAGAGGCAGGCGTATCTCTGAGTTTGAGGCCAGCCTGGTCTACAGAGTGAATTTCAGGACAGCCAGCCAACTGCTGTTACACAGAGCAACCCTTTCTTAAGCGCCCCCCCCCAAACCCAAATAACAATTTTATTTTTGTTGTTTTTTTGAGACAGGGTTTCTCTGTGGCTTTGGAGGCTGTCCTGGAACTAGCTCTTGTAGACCAGGCTGGTCTCGAACTCACAGAGATCCGCCTGCCTCTGTCTCCCGAATGCTGGGACTAAAGGCGTGTGCCACCAACACCTACCTTATAATTTCTTTTCCATGTAAGTAAAGATTCTGGTAAGAGGTAAACTGAGGAGGATATGTCTTTTCAAAATGGGGTTTTTCTGTAGCCCTGGCTGGCCTGGAACTCACTTTGTAGACCAGGTTGGCCTGGAACTCAGATCCGCCTGTCTCTGCCTCTCGAGTGCTGGGATTAAAGGCTTGAATCACCACTGCTCTGCTCTCTTTTAACCTCTTAATTACAACCATACATAGCTTTAGCACTCTTTAATAGTGTCCCAGTTACATGATTTTTTTTTTCTTTCCAAAATCAGTTCAGTACTCTATCCATTCTACTTTTCCCAACCCCTATCTTAGCAACTAAAATCCCAGTATTCACCATACTATCCTTGATTGGTTAAATTCTTAACATGTATTGAGGTCAAAGGGGACACTGTTGTTAATTGGCAAACATGACATTTGCATAGTGGCATTATCTACTAGCTGTGGTTGGTCTCATGGTTAATATTCTACTCTGAGATAATATAGAGACCTGTAAGGCAACCTGGGACTGGGGAATTATTTTCTGAACTATGTACTTAAACTCTATTGCACCCTAGTACCATTTGAAGAGTGCAAATGTGTTGACTTAAAGAATATAGCTGGCAAAATGTCAAGCAGTGAAACAAAAATCCAGATTTGTAAATCTCAAAACAGTAACATAAGAAACACAAAAAACCCAAGGCAACATAACCCTATTCCCAAATTACTAATCATACAGTAATGGCATCTAGCAAGAGTGAGTTAGATGGAATTCCAGGCAGATAATTTAAAAAAATGATTTTTTTTTTTAAAGTGTGTTTAAAGAGATGAACGAAGAAAGTAAGATCCTGATTGGGGATACAGGAGAGCCACAGAAAAAGAAAGGGAAGCAATTCGAAATTGGAAAGGGGGATTGGTGTTTTTTTTTTTTTTTTTTTTTTTTTTTAAAAACGGGGTTTTTTTTTTTTTTTTTTTTTTTTTTTTTGTTCAAGACAGGGTTTTTCTGTATTGCTTGGTGGCTGTCCTGGAACTTGATCAGTATACCAGGTTGGCCTCAAACTCACAGATATCTGCCTGTCGATGCCTACCGAGTGCTGGGATTAAAGGTGTGCGCCACCAACACCTGACTGGGGAATTGGTTTTTAAAGAGATAGAAATATTGGAGGAAAAAATCTGAAATTCTGTGAGTGAAAAACATGTCAATAAAAAAGTTTGTGTAATAGAATAAAAATGAATGAGTCAAGGAGAGGATAAAATATCTGAGCTTGAAGCCAAGCTCAGCAGTCAGACACAAAGATAAAACAATGAGAAGTTACTGGTGGGAATTACAATATCACGTTTTATCTTCAGAAAACCATATCTGTGAGTGGCTATGGAGGTTCAACTATAATTCCATTGGTAGAGACAGTATTCCCAGGAGCAATCTGGTTTTGGCGACTAGCTGAATTCATGAGATTCAGGTTCAAACCCTTGCTCAGTAAATGCCTTGAGAGTTGTTGAGAAAGACTTCTGGTCTCTACATGCATGTGAATATACCTACACACCCGTGCTGAGCACACATGCACATATGTTAAAAAAATGGACATTTAACAGCTTGACTAGTTTATAAAAAATATATTCTTTAAAGTTTTGTACCCTGATTCCTGTTTTTAATTTTTAAATTGAGTTTTACTCTTTTGTTTGTGCACGTATGTACTATGGTGAATGTGGGGAGGTCAGAGAACAACTGGAGGTCTCTTCTTTATTTATTGTGGGCCTTGGGAATTGGACTCATTTCATCAGATGATGCAGAAGACACCTTTTTACCCACTGAGCTTTCTCTCCAGCCTTGTAACATTATATTGTCTAAGGGGTTTTTGAACTAGTTATTTTGTCTTTCTCTTAAAACAAGAAAAACAACCCTCCCCCAAACATTGATTTGATTGATTGAAGATTGCCTTTTTGTAGGTGTGGTGGAGGTGGGACATGTTGATGTCCAGACCAGAGTTTTGTTTTTGTTTTTTTTTTTTTTTTTTGAAAGTCGCCTCTTCTACCATGTAGGTTCTAGAATTTGAACTTAGGTTGTCCTGGTTGGCAGCTAGTACCCTTGTTGAGCCATCCACCTGCCTAAGTTGAATTTTTTTGTGTTTATATAGAAGGTAGGCATCTTTGGGGGTAGAATAAGGAGAGAAGCTTGGTTTTGTTTATTGCTTTCTGCCCCATGGCACAGATTGTCAAATTGTTCATTACTAGTGATGTTCACATTGATCTGTTTATTAATGTGCTATTTGTAAGGCTGTTTTACTACAGAGCTGTAATTAATACATTTTGGATGTGGGAGTACTTAAAATTGCATAGATAAGCAATTCCCATACACAATGTGTGTGTATTATGTGCCTGTGTCTAGATTTATAGTTTATTGAATGTTTATAATACTGTGTTCTTGTCACTTATTTTCATTGAGGTAAAAGTCATACGTAATTAACATTTAAGAAGTACGGATTTATTGACATTTAGTTGAACATCCATGATGTACTTAGATGAAATTATACAATGTGTTTATCTTCCTAAAAGAAAATTTTGGGAGCTAGAGAGAAGACTCAGCGGTTAAGAGCTCTGGTTGCTCTTCCAGAGGACTTGGGTTCAATTCCCAGAACCCATAAGGCAGCTCACAACTGTGTAACTCCAGTTCCAGGGGATCTGATACCCTCAAAAAGACATACATGAAGGAGAAAATAAACAAATGCACATAAAGTAAGAAACAATACATTAAAAGAAGTTAAACAAAACATGTATGCCACGTTTAGCTTATTTTGTGTGTTTATGGACATTTGGGATGTTTCTACCTTTTGATGATTGTGATAAGTGCTGATGCAAACATTGGTATACACATTTTAAAGTATGATTTTTCAATTCTTTGAGCATACTGAATAAAGGTATTGTGGATAATAGGGTAATTATGTGTTTTAGCTTTTTGAAGGATTGCCAAATTGTAGTCTATAGTGATACAATTTTATCTTAACAGTAACACACAAGGGTTCCAATTTCTTAATATGTTCAATATCCCTTTTTTTTTTTTCTGTTTAAAAAAAGATATAGCTACCTAGTGGGTGTGAACTAGTGTCTCATGGTAGTTTTGACTTACATTTCTCTAATGGCCTTTTTTCTAGTGATGCTGAGGGCATATTTATATGTGTATTGAGTATTTATAGATTTTAGGGGGAAATATCTAGCTGTAGTAACCTTTTTTTTTTTTTTTTTTTTTTTTTTTTTTTTTTTTTTTTTTTTTTTTTTGGTTTTCAAGGCAGAATTTCTATGTGTAAACAGCCCTAGCTATCCTGGTGCTACCTCTTCATCTTTAGACTGTGCTGGCCTTGGACTCTGCCTGCCTCTGCCTCCCAAGTGCTGGTATTAAACACGTGTACCACATTCTTTCTAATGTCAAAGTCAGCAGTCACCAGGCACTTTTATAGGCCAAAGTGGATGGTTGGTGGCATTAATTGATTTAAGAACTACCTTCAAGTTGCTACAAACCTGATGAGGCAGCTGTTACCATCCTGAATGGCTTGTCAGAGATAATCATGTATAGCAAAGTAAATAAGACTATTGCTTAGCTACGTGACCTTAATATTGGCCATAAAAAAGCAAGTGACGAAAAGCAAGTGAAGCTAGAGGGATGGATTAATCAGGTTTTTTCTTTTAGTTTCAGGATCCTTACAATATCCTGTCATTTGGAGTTCTTGTATTACTTCCTACATATATCCCTTTTTTAAATTTAAAATCTCTGCCCCTGGCTGTCCTGAAACTTGCTCTGTAGGCCAGGCTGCATTCTGCCTGTCTCTGCCTCCTCAGTGCTGGAATCAAAGGTGTGCATCACCGCCACCCAGCTATTCCTGTAATTGTTTTGCGTTTTCTGAAAATTGGCAGTTAATTATATTTAAAATTCTTTTTGGGGTGTGGATAAGAATATTTCACAGAGCTGTGGGGAAGCCTTTGTAATTAAGTGCACTTGCTGCACTTCAGAGGAATTTACAAACTTAGAGATCTTACTTATTTGCTCTTCCAGAAATTGGGAAACCTTTTTCTATAAAATAGAGAACATGTTTTGATGGACTGAATGTAAATAGGTTTATAGATACAAGAGCTGAAGAAGCAAACAGAAGAAACAGTTTGATACTTTCAAAAATCTTTTTTTTTTTTTGGTTTTTCGAGACCGGGTTTCTCTGTGTAGCTTTGGAGCCTATCCTGGCACTTGCTTTGTAGACCAGGCTGGCCTCGAACTCACAGAGATCCCCTGCCTCTGCCTCCCGAGAGCTGGGATTAAAAGGTGTACGCCACCAATGCCTGGCTTTCAAAGTTAATTTTTTAAAGAGGGGACAGGAAAACAGTAGTAGACAATCAATTGGTTAATTATCAGGTTACTTCAGGTTACTTTTTTGGGCAGGGATGAAAGTGAAAGAACATCATTATGTGTTTTGAAACTGGTCTGTTTAGAAAAGTTGGCTATTACCTTTCTTCCTTAATAATTTTTTTTTTTTAATTTTGGACAATAAGTAACTTTGAGATTGGTGATATGGAACTTTAGTATGAGAAACTTTGTTTTGAATTTTAGTTTGGTCTGTTGGGGTCTACTTCAGGAACTTAGTTCAAAACAATGGTCTCCTATAATTACGATTTAGCAATAGCAAATGCAATCTTACAATTTGGTCACTGTAATTCAGGTTTTTTTTTTTTGGAGACAGGGGGGTCTCTCTGTAGCCACAGGTGTTATGGAACTTGCTCTGTTAATCAGGCTGACTTTGGGTGCTTGGCTGAAAGGCATGCACCGTTACGCCCAGCCAGTTGTAATTTAAAGGAGATACAGCATAAGGAAATAAATTTGTTCAGAAACCACAGATCTAATTTCTTCCATTTTTATATGACAGGGACTTGCCATGAGGTGTTGAAGCCTTGTTTCATTGAGTTGGAGAGACTGGACCTAAATGGCGCAGCATGACTTTGCTCCAGCCTGGCTTAATTTTCCTACTCCACCATCATCAACAAAGGTACTCACCCCTCCCCCTATTTCTGTGCCTTTCTGTCTGCCTTGATTTTTGCTTATGTTGTAGACAAATTTAACCAAATTGTGAAGACTTGGGCTGGGGTTGAGTATCGCTTCCTGGTAGAACACTTCCCTAACCTGTATAAGGCCCTGCCTTTAAGTCACAGTATAAGGAGAAAAGTAAAGGCAGTTGCTATGTTGTTTTTGTTGAAGGTGGTTTTTGTAGTGTTGAGTGTTCATACATATTAAATCATACTAGTCAGACACTTTTGTCTTACCTTTTTAAGATAATTTTTATTACTTTACTGCTAAGTAGTAATGATAGCATACATAAGGTAAAGATTGCAGAGTATACTTTGGCAAATATTTAATTTGATCCTGATTTCATGAATGTTATATTTTAGACTTATTCCCACTTCTTGTTCCATGGATTTCAATTACTTACCTCATGTTTGGACAGGGAAAGTAAAATGACTGTATTCCAGATTAAAGGACATGGGAAGTGATGACTCTGTATAGCTGTCTGACTCATTTGGTATCACAACTCTCTGCTAGGCTCCATTAATTGCTGCTTGGTTGCTGTGCCTTCCCCCCCCCCCCCCAACATTGCCCTGGGGCATAAATTGCTCCTTGTTCTGACTCAGTTTAATTAGATAAAGGGTGGTTTTTGAGGCCAGTCTCTGAGGTTTGTTGACCCCCAGAAAGAAGGCTCTTAGTTGTTTCCCTGGTTCTCTCTGTGCTTGCTGCCTCATTGGTTTAGCTTACTGCTATTTGTTGAGAGTATCCACTGCCCTCCTGTGTCTTACTCCCACACCTCCCACTAAAAAATCTCCATTGTTTCTGAGGGTCCTTTAATCTTAAACTTTCTCATGCTCTGTTTTTGATTTCCTTTGAGCATGGCTTCTTACCATTGTAAAAGTCTATTAAGTAGGGAGCTAAACCAAGTGAAATGGACATCAATATTCTTGGATGAAAAACCTGAAATTGTTCAGTTGTGAATGGGTGTTGGGCAGAGAAAATTATCACTTGGAATATAACCTCTTCAGTTGCAGTTGGACAGAATCCTTGTCTGCAGTTACAGAGGGACTGGAAAGTAGGTGGTGGCAGCGAAAGTGTTGTCATAAAACTGGAGAACTTGGTTAAAAGTGTTAAAAAAATAAACATGCAGTCTCTAAAATTTGTTCTAAGGGCACATAGGAAATGGAGAGACATTGACTCAAACATATTAGATTCATAAGAATGTACTTTTCTGATTACTGGCTTTACTTTCTACCTTTTCAGTCACCTTGAAGACTTTTAAACTGAGCAAGATTTTGAATTGTGACTAACATTTTGGGAATATGAAGAATTTACATAACTCACTAATATTCATTTAGTTAATAAAATGGTATTATGTTTGTTAACACTGGAGATTTAACTGGCATTGGAAGTAGCATCCCCCCCCCAAAATATGATAAGAAAATTCTCCAGAGTGTTAGGAATTAAACTACCAAGTGCAGGGATTATAGGCACAAACCATCGCCCCTTTCTGTTCTTCCTGTTTGCTGTTCTCCCTTTTCTCTTCACCCATTCTATTCCCTTCCTCTCCTTTTTTGTGTTAAAAAGGGAGTGGAAAAAATATACCCCCTTGGTTCCTTTCTACTTTCAGTACAAAACATCTCTGACCAGTTCACTAGGCAATTTTTCAGTGCTCACCAATTGAATAGCCTACAATCCAATTTTGTTATTATTTGCCTAGTTTACAGAGGTAGTCAGCCTTGTAAGCTGCACTCATTACAGATAACACTAACTTGTCTAGGCCATCTATATTTAATTTTTTTTTTTAAACTATTGTTTGGTTGGCCATCTTACTCATTTGGGATGGCTTTGAGTTAGTTTTCAGTCTTGTTTCTTACTTCAAGTGGAGTTACTGGCTGGTACCACCACATACTCTATGACTAACTGGTTATAAACCAGAACCCCCATAAACCTCCTCCTTAGATGAATTTGCTAGGATGGCTTATAGAACTCAGAGAAATACTTGTTTTGCCAGCCTTATAAAGGATATAGATGAATAGGGTGTATTATTGGGAAGGCCCTTCAGAACTTTCCTAGGCTGTCTTATGGGGCATCTTAATTACATTACCATCAACTCTGGAGTTATTAAAGAAGCTTGTTATGAGTAAGAAAAGGAATTCCTACTACTTAGGGATTTCCACAGCTTTTTTTTTTTGATTTTATTTATTTATTATGTATACAACATTCTCCCCCCATGTATATCTGCACACCAGAAGAGGGCACCAAATCTCATAACAGATGGTTGTGAACCAACATGTGGTTGCGGGGAATTGAACTCAGGACCTCTGGAAGAGCAGTCAGTGCTCTTAACCTCTGAGCCATCTCTCCAGCCCCCGATTTCCACAGCTTTTAAGAGGTCTGTGGCTCGGTACAAGGAGAGAGACCAAAAATACTTGATGTAGTAAATATGCTCAGAGTGGAGATCAAGTTTTATAATTTGTATTCTAATGTCCTTTATATTTCAAGCTATTCTAAGGATACCATATTTTACCTAGTTTAATGTACTCTTTTAAGTTCCACTCAGAAAGAAAGAATGAAGAATATTTTCAAATTAATTTTTAGCATTCTAGATTATAGAGATTGTAACTAGAAACAGTCCATTTGGCTTAATAGCTATATTCTACTTTGTTTCTTCTGTGGAAAGAGGAATTCAATGAGTCTTGATTGATCATCTGCTTGCCTGTTAATCTGAGCCTTTACCTCGGTGAGGCAGCCATGTAGTGATCAGTTTTATTAGGTGATCAGTTTATTAAAAATAGTTCTAATGAGAATGATTTTAGTTTGGAAATTTGTTCTGTTAAAATATATTGAGCTATTTCTCAACAACATAATTTAGTTTGAAGATGAATCTTAGAGATCATCAAAGCTTTACTGTCTTGTACAGTTATTTTGGGAAGGTTAACTTGCTCCTTTTTTTTTTTTTTTTTAAACGTAATTAATGTGAAACCAGACTAGAATCCAGATTTACTCTATGTTCTTGGCATACAATTAATTTTGGAATTAGAGAAAATGATTAAATGTACCATTTTGTAGACTGTAAGACTATTAACAAGAAGACTTGAAATTGTTAGGAAAAGAGACCCACTGGAGCTGACAGTATTTCCTTTTTTTTTTTTTTTTTAACATTTTGAGGCAGGTTTCTTTTTTGTAATTTTGGCTTCCTTAAACTGACTCTGTAGACCAGGCTGGCCTTGAACTCACAGAAATCCATCTGCCTGCCTTTGCCTTCTTGGTGCTGGGATTAAAGGTGTGGGCCACCACTGACTGGCAGAATTTTTATTTCTTTTATATGTGTGTGTGTGAACATGCATATCCACACATACAAATTTATTTTATGTTCGTTGGCATTTTGCTTGCATGTATATCTGTTATGAGGGTGTCAGCAACCCTGGAACTGCGTACAGGTATGAACTGCCAAGTGGGTGCTGGGAATTAAACGCAGGTCCTCTAGAAGAGCAGCAGATGCTCTTCACTGTTGAGCCATCTCTCCAGCCCCTTAGCTTTCATTTCTTAAGCCTAGGTGTCATGTATTTTTTTCTCCTCCCATCTGCTTCCCAAGGGTTGGGATTATAGGTGTGTTCTGTCACAGCCAACTTAATTTTTGTTACTGTTTTCCTGCTTGTTTCCCCATACATAGTTACTACAATTTGTGCCAGCCTTTCTCAGACCCCTAGTTGCTCTAACCTATCCAATTTATAGGCAGCCTCCCTTATGTCCCAAGGCCAATTTTAGAGTCCATGTGTATGGATTTCTTGCTTACCTTTCTATTTTTGTTAAAGTAATTTAAGGTTATTCTATTTGTAAAAGAGTCTTAAGACTGCCGAAAGCTATTTGGAAAGTGAAATTGCCATAACAAAAGTTTGTAAGCTTATCAGTATTTAAACATTAATAGCCCAGGATAAGGGCTGAAGACTGTTAGATTACAGTAAACTTTTAGTACTTTTCTAGAATGAGGAGTATCATTAATAAGTGACTAGTTCATTGTGATGAACTCTGCCACTGAGCTGGTGCTTTTTACTATCCATTCATTAAGTTTTTTTTTTTTTTTTTTTTTTTTTTTTTTTTTTTTTTTTAAAGAAAGATAGGGTCTTATGTAGTCCAGACTGACCTTCGAATCTCTGTGTGGTGGAGTATGACCTTTGAACTTTTGAACCTGCTTCTTCCAGCTTCAAGTTCTGGGATTTACAGGTGTGTGACACTGCACCTTGCTCTTTATTTTGGGACAGAACCTCACCATGTTGCTCAGACTAGCATCAATCATTCCCTTTAGTTTAGCTAGCCCTTGGATTTGTTTGATCCCCCTATTTGATCTCTCTAGTAGCAGAGTTTACAGCTCCAAATTTTCTAACCAAACTTATCACTTCTTGAGTGGTCAGTCTGAATTCTTAAGATTTAGGTTTTTGGTTTTGTAGTCTTAATCTAAAGCAATGGTTCTCAAACTTCCTAAAGGGACCCTTTAATACAGTTCCTCATGTTTTCATTGCTACTTTATAACTATTTGTGCTACCATTACGAATTATAGTTTAAATATTTTTTGGAGGTAGAGAGGTTTGACAAAAGGGGTCTTGATTTGACAGGTTGAGAATCGGTGTTCCAAAGAGACAACTACAAGTTTATGGTTTTTGGGATGGGATGGGATGGGATGGGATGTGTGTGTGATGTTGTGTGTGTGTGTGTGTGTGTGTGTGTGTGTGTGTGTGTGTGTGTATACATACAATACAGTAATTGATTATTACTGTTAATATTAGTGTTAATATTACTTTTGGAGCCCTGGCTGTTTGGAACTTACTGTAGACTTGGCTGGATGTGGGCCTTGAACTCAAGAGAGATCTGCTTGCCTCTGCCTGTGCCAGCATTCCTGGCCCTAGTGATTTTTCTTTTTCTAGTTATAACATCTCAGCTTATTCTTTCATCTTAAAAACCACCAGTCTTAGATTTCTGTTTGTA